TGCCACTTACAGTACTTTATAACACACTAAAATATGTGAAATATATTCAAAGTTTCAGCAAATTGTCACATTTGAGACACTAAACCTAAACTAATGTTTAGTTTTTGGAATAAAAAACAAATATTGCAGTTGACAGAGCAGAAAAAAAACTCATTATTTACAGTCACAATCACCATTTTCCTTGTGTTAATACAAGATTTACTGTATTGTCAAGTTAGATGTTTTATATTTTTTATCTTCATGGTGGTGGATGAGCTGCATTGCATTTATTGATCCAAAGCGAGTCAGCAGGTGTGGTTTACTCGTGACACTGAGCACTTTTTCCACACCCGTAGCCAGCATGAAGTTGCAAAGCATGCACTCTTGCCTTTACTATGTTGTGGGGGAAGTGCTGAGGTGAAATCAGTGAACTGAATGTGTCATCTAATTTACAAAGAAGCAATTAGCTATAGCAAAGAGAAATGAACTGAAGACTTTGCACCTTAAATTGCATCAAATGAAAACACAGGCCACTTCAAAATTGGAATAAAGTGCATTACTTGAGTAAATGTCTCACCACATATAATAAATGTACAACTGCATGGAGAGCTGCTACTACATGTTCCATGTTGTGGATTTACCACAAACTACACTTTAGTGAATTTCAAAAGCGTATATTTTACAGTATTTATGATCGCATGCTCAATTTTTAGGTCAAGAGTTTCAAAGTGTGAAACTCTTGGCGTTGTGTGTTTCAACTGTGTAGCATCAATCTGCTAATTATGTCACAATCAGTTAGTTGTTCATCTATAAAACACCAGAAGACGTTGAATATGCTCATCACTAATGTCCCAGAGCACATAAGAACACCATTAAGCTCCTCTGTTGTTTGGTTCAGTAAACGTCAGCAAGGACAAGCAGCAAATAGTCACATCTGAACAATTCATACTGTTCTAATCAATCAATAAATAGTAGCTGTGATCGCTGCATTGCCATAGTGCTCAGTATTGTAGGGTTAATTAGTACAGTCATCAGGTTTCTTGTAGTAAAACAGGATTACTGTAAAATACCAGATGTAATTATCTATATTTCAGATACTATAGCACATCTGATAAATAAAAGTTTATAAAGTACATTCTTACTCTACAATATCCCAAATACTGACTTCTGTATACATTTCCATTATTTTCTGGTTAATACACTGTTGACCATAAAGTTGGATTAAACTATTGTTTATACCTCTTGTGACAATGGGATTTAATCTTGATAGACAAAGTGTAAATCTTCTCAAAACTTTATTAATATCACAATATACATACAATACATACATTAAAATTAAAGTTCATTTGCAAAAACAGATAACTCCAACTTCACAAACCTGCAGAAAACCCACTTTTCCATTGTCTACCTGAGACGATATCAATCAAACTTTACTTATCTCTGTTTTTGTCATGTCATTTCTACTGAGTCAAACCACTCAGCTTCAGCTTGATTGATATCATCTCGAGCAAGCAAACAACAACAAAAAAAAGTTTTCTAAAAATCTACAAAAATGGAGTTGTCTGTTTTTGGAAATGAACTCTTCAGATATTTGAGGGGATTTCATGCATTAGAATGTCCAATATTACTCTTTATAATATTCTTTAATGTGTTAAGACATGGTGGTGGCATACTGTCCACCAGCTTGCTGATAGTGTCAGTGGGCAGGACGTCCCACTCTTCAGTCAGAACTGGTTTCACCTGGTAACTGGGACTCAGTATGTTATCATTGCACCTGGTCAAAGTGATAACTGATGAGTATAAATAGAAAAAAACAAGAAGAATGTGTCTGAAAACAAGAATTATTCCAACTTTATGGGCGACGGTGTAGTTGTATGAACTTAAGGAAACTGCTTCAGACAACATTTTGTTTTAAATTCAGTGATAAATATGTTGTTCTGATGAATACATTGTCTGATGTATTATCTAATTTGGTAGTTCAGCATTTGGATTTAAGAGCTTCATTGACGTACTCGGTTGTGAAAATTGAGCCAAAACAATGATAAAATATTGTAAAATATCTGCATGAGCAGGGTGACGACAACACAGTCAGATGAGCAGTGGTAGAAGAAGTGCATATTTCTTATTAATAAAATGTACCAATGTATCAGATCTAAGAGTCACTATAAAGTTTTACAAGATTCTTTCTCATGACACATTAATTGAACACAGATAAGATAATACTAATTTTATACTGTTAATGTTTTACCCATAATGTAGAATAAGATTTCATATCATCATTCAGCATCATGACCGTATAAAGCCTGTTTCAAAGCAACCAGGAACTTTAACTGTTAAATAAAGGTAGTAGATGGCATGTATGATGTTAGTCCCTAAAGTCTAAACACTGTGCTTCAGTGTTTCTGTAAAACTTTCCACTGGTGACTTGACGAGCTGATAGATAAAATCTGATGAGAAATTTCCAGTTGTCATTGTGCTCTAGTTTGGTTCAACGTGTTTCCAACTTATCATTGTGGTCTGGTTGTGTTGCGTATCTGGCATGACAGTCACGTCCACTGATGTTTCAGACATCAAAGATGTTTCGCAACACTACAAGCTAAAGGATTCCAGCTGTCTGTCAAAAAACTGGTTTGTACCGCAGTGAATGCATGTTATCTAGTATGTGGGTGAGCCAATCTGAAACCAGTGTAGCGATCCAAATCTAAGAGCCGACATGTGGAGCTTAACACAAGTCAACTCGTTGAACTTGTACTGAGCTTGAGGAGCTTGACTTTAAATCTTAACATGCTCCCGTACTGATTTAGCACGTCTAGTTTAGCACGTTTGCCTTTTTAATATTTGCTAATAGCACTGAGTTCAAAGTACAGCTGCAGGTATTTGGTCATAAAACAAAACACTAGACAAAGTCAAATTCGGACCTGATGATGGATGGAATGAAGCCCATTAAATGGGTCTCCAGATATCTCACTCAAAGCCAATACATGATCATGATGAGGGGCAAAGAATTAATCAGCAGCTGCTCTGGTACTAAATCATTTACATGAGATGCAGCAGTACAAAGTATTTAGTGTACAGCTTCTCAGATGTGAGGATTTTCTTAAACTGGCTTTTAGACTGTTCACCTCAGAAGCAAATGTAAAAATGTAGCACTTTAGCCTCGTTGAAATTATAACTGAGTTGTACGGAAAAAACATTAAAGAAATTATTCAGTTTACTCCTCGTGAAAATAATCATTAGTTACATGCTTAAAAGCCACGTCAACTTCATGACCTGTTAGAAGTCCAGGTGGACATTGATGAGGTTAAAGTCACTCAAACTGAATTACAAAGTCAGACATGTGTTTAGCCTGATACTAGAAGTATCAAGTAGAATAAAATGAAAATACAACAATTATCTCTAAAATTCGGATTCCAATGGAATTTTCCCCCCTGACTCTGCTTATTGGTTCCTAAATAAAGATCACCCACAAGTTTCCAATAAATCCACAAGTTTCAAATAAACAGCGTACTGCAAACACCCACTATCTTTCTAGCTTTATGTCTGTGCCAAAGCTGTGAGCTGAAACATTTGTCTTCATAAAACATGAGTCTGCCTTCCTCTGTTCACCTCATCAGCTGGTGCAGAGCTTGATTAGCAGGTGAACAGCACAGATTGTGTGACTGTCTTGTACCAATCACCTTAATTCAGCAAATGCTGCTACAGACACTTGACACACACACACTATAGTTACAGTAAAGTAGTGGAAAATATTAAAGAAGGCTAGAAAAGAGAGCAACATTGCTACAGTTCTGATGCTGATAAGTGTCACGTAGCTCTGTGTTTCTGTTGGCATCTGCAGTAAGCAAAGAATGCAGAAGGACACCGTGGTGGCACTGAACAGGGATTCTTTGGCTCAGTCCCAATCTCCACCCTAAGGCCTGAACACTAAGCTCTCCCAGACTTCACTGACGTCACAGGTGTCGTGCTTTTTACTGTGAGTTTGTGAAAGCTTGAAACGGTATAAAAACGAGGAATGAGCCCCGCTATCACGACAGCACATGCTGCAGGGAAATGCGAATCTGGACTTGTATTTCATTTCCAGTTTGATCAGCTGCTCCGTTGATCACTTGCTGCTTGTGACACAACCGAGTTAATATATGTGGGCTAAGTGCCTAAAGCCAGCAAATCCATGAACGTCTGTGAATGCTACGTTTGACTGAAAGTACAAACAGCTCTACAAATGTTTGTTTAAATACCACAGCAGTGAGCAGTCAGATGCTGTCACTTACAGATAACCACATATAGACATACCGTTTTCACAATGACTTACAGGCCTGATGGGAAGTCTGCACACATGTGGACTGGATGGGGGTACAATAGCTTTGAAAAGTTGGCATCAGAGCCCTCATTCACTGTCAGTTTGACAGAGGGACGGCCCTGAACCCTCACACATCTCTAAGTGTTCGCTATTACTACTGTCTAGAAGCGGTAGCAGCTGATTTATCTGTAATGAACTTTATGCAAATTTACCAGGGATTGCTGCTGCCAACAGAACAAACCCACTAGTACGTCACCACCTCTTGTAAAGAGGATGAGCCGTCAGGTTATCGCTCTGCTGACTTCACTGGCTAAAAAGCAGTAACTGGTGTAATTTATTTAATTATTAGGGGTATGTTTACTTTAACAGAGGTGTGCAATGGTAAAGGAAGTACTCAGATCTCTTACTTAGTGAAAAGTACACTGTAGAAACCCTGCATGGAAAATGTAGCATTAAACTAAAACCAAGAAAATGTAGCAAAAGTGAAAGTACATGATGCAGGCCCCTAACGACTTCCCCTGTTATAGATAGAATTGAGAATGAATGAAAATGATGTCCAGTTTTAGTCAGGGGACCACAACAGTCATTGAGGTTCACCCTCTGGAGACCTTGATTGTCTGAACAAATGATTAACTCACTGGTTTTTCCACTAACAAGAGCTAATGTAATACATCAGATTTAATTACAAGAACACTGAAAAGAAAAAAAAAGAGAGAGAGAGAGATTTGTTTCTTAAAAAGAAGTGTTTTATTTCATTTTTAACAAAGCCCAAGATTTGAAGCAAAACTGGGGAACACTGGCAAATCTCAATCCAATCATCATGTTAGGGACACCAACATAAGAGGGGAGCTTCAAATAAAAAAAGGACACCTAAAATAATCATACAACCCAGAATTGGGGCAAAGAAAATAATGGTGCATGTTGTCCAAGAACTATAAAAAAAAATATCTTTGACAATAAGAAACAAACAAAAAAATAAAATCATGCCAGCAGCTGTTGGGGAGGTAAATAAAATCTAGTAAAATAAATGTCAAATATGACAGCTGTATCCATGACACCTGTTAACAGCTTTGAAAGAACCAATAAAGCCTACAATAAATGACAGTTCCTATCAATGTGCTAAAAATTAAAACTTGGATGAGCAATTTGGTCAAATACATCTAAAACACGTTACACTTTAAACTCAGCTGTGTGTACCGTAGCTTGAGCAGTTCCGCTTTGTGGAACCGCAAAGAATATGCAAGAGATGAAAACATTTTTTTCTTCGGTGGCTGTCTGTTTATACACCTTTTCCAAGAATACAAGTTTGTGCCAAAGATAATTAAGAGTCAGATTTGACATGCCAATGAAAATGGAAACAATAATCAAAAGTACACTTTGTTAGTGTTTTTACAACTAATTTGTTACACATAGAAATATTAAACAGTTTAATCGACAGCTGTGATGACCATGCGTACATGTTGAGGGGAGGGGGTTGCAAAATATTATCACTGGGAGACATTTTGTCATGTGAGCGATCTAATTTGTCATTTTTCACGTCATTTCGACTTCATATTGGTAGTTCTGGTGGTCCGACATGCTCAAATGCTAATAGTCATTTACATTATTACTAGTTCACTGGGTTTACACTTGTACCAATAACTCCAGTTATAGACTTGTAAAAGCTAAAGATGGGGAAAGAAAACGTATAATTGCGCTGTGGCGTAGGATTCCACTGGCACGTGTTGTCCTTTGAAATATGAAATTACTGACTATCTGAAATGAGCCGATCCACCCATGTAAACACAGTGATTTTCTGATACAGAAAAATACTAAGTGTACAATGTATATTGATCTTTAATAACAATATCCATCAGTTGAAAACACCAGTCTGCTTTGATATATTCTCATATGGGAACATATATATTTTATAACAAAATAAATCTATACTGTTGTTTTCGCGGTGATGGTTGACAACGGGTCGTACAATCCTGTCAGCCCGCTCTCTCTGAGTGCTCGAACTTTGTTTGTCTGTCCCAACAAAGAACTGTGTGTCACTCTGTCGGAAATAGTACTTTGTGTATGAAGCAGCTCAAATACTCAAAAGGCTCTGCCTGAGAATTAGTTTGAAGCAAAAAAAAAAAAAAAAGACTAATAAAATACTCATCTTTTTCCATCTGTATACCAGTTGTTAAAGTAATTTATAATAAAGTGTATGTTTCTATTATTATCTTTAAAAATCATAAGCATTTTTTACCGTATCTTGACATTTTGACACAAAATATCCTCTTGGATATTTACACAGGAAAAGATACTTTTCAAGCAATAAAACAAGCTTATATTGTGGGTTGCAACAGAATAGAACAATTCTGAAGTAAATATGGAGAAAGAATTGCATAGCAGATCAGAATACAACTAAACAGGAACTGATCCTTTTTGGTATGGTGCACTTTGATTCATGACTTTGCACATTTTCACATATGTACATGAAATAGTAAGTCCATTCATAGTTTCACCTGCCCACAGTTAAGATCAAGTTTACTTCTGCACAACAATGCTCAACAGCAAGAAGGCAGGACGCAGACGTCTTGTCATCTCTGCTCTTCAGATAAAAGTCCATAGGAGTTTTTAAAAAAAAATAAAATAAAAAAAGAAGAAGAAAAAAAAATTAAAATTTGTTTTAAAAAGTGCCATTTTGCTACATTTATCAGCTGATCCATGGTCTGCTACTTAACAGTTAACACGAGCAAATGTGTTACACAGCCCCCAATCACACAGCTTCCTGATTCTATGAGTTTTGGTCACATGGACAGTCACACACTCAGTCACAGCCACATACAAAGAAACACACAGATGATGTGAAAGGAAAAAATAAAAGTGGAAAAAACAAAAGTTGTGGCCGGTGAGTTACAGTTCCATTTGAAGAGTTTATCTGCTGCGATTAGACATTCCGGCTGGTAAAGCTTCGAAAAAGAACAAGCACCATAAAGAAAAGGCCTCAAATGTCCTCCGCTGGGGGAGTTCAGCAGTTTTCCGCTTGATTCTGTGCTCCCGCAAAAAGCAAAAGAGAAATAGATCTACATTCAGACTCGCCTCAGGCTTGTGGTCAGGCAAAGTCACTGAAATGTTTCAGGCTTTATTGCGTCTTTTCCTCCGATTTCAAGTCCAAGTTAGGCATTAGAGCCTCGTTTCAATCATGGAGTCCAGATCTCCCACTCCCGTGAGGCCTTAGAAATCTTTGTGTCCATGTGGATACATCCGGGTCCTCACCGTCTCTGCTGAGCATAGACTGGGTACGCTAGCGTCACATTCAGAGAGTCATTGTGCTGGACCAAAGACGTGTGCTGGTAGTGAAGTACGAGTTCTTTTAATGAGCTGTACAGGTTATACGGCTCGGCGAAGCCATAACCTGAGGGGGTCTTGTTGATGACGCAGTGCTTCACCTCGCCATCCACACTGTAAAGAGAGAACAATCGTCACAACCTGTTCTGTGTGTTCTCGCTGTTTCTAACAAACAGTAGTCTGGTGCAAGTGTAAACATTGAATCTAGGTTTTACATGTAATCATTCCTCAAGTTCAGTTTTGGACGGTAAAAAAGTTTCAGACTCCCGCACACTTACTTGCAGAAATATACTCATACAGCGTTTTGATGCATTTTTAAGTAGGAGTTGCTGTAATTCTCCAACAAATCAGCATAAATCCAACATTTGTGCAAGTGAGACAGTGTGTAGGAATCTGAAACTTTGCCATCCACTCATCTATCTCCTACACACCTGCCTTAAGAAATAAGTATGCGACGGGTTCCTTTGTCTTGTACTTAAAGGTTGAATGATGTAGAGTTAACTTGATTAACTCAGACTGTGCTGCTCTTATATTAGCTTCAGATACATTTGTATATACAGTGTTACTGCACAAAACATGGACCTATAATGTCTGATATTTGTAAAAAGTCAGAGTACAGAGGGGCATGGTTCTAAGTCAGACTTGAAAAAGCACACCGACTGATACATACACAACACTGCAGGCGTAGCATCCTGCTTTGCTGCTGTCTCGAACCAGGAATGTTCCGTCTCTCTTGCCCTGGAGGAGGGCCTCGGCCTGTAGTCTGTTGATGTTACCCAGCTTCCAGCTTCGCTCGTCATGATGAGGAAGGTCTTCGTCATCATCCACCATAGAGTATTGACTACAAAAACGTAGATAAATGTTAGTTATGAGGCAATATATTTGCATTTTGCGTTGGCTACCTTGTTAATTTTAAACTGCATACTTACTCTTCTGTGTTCTCGTTTTTGATTCCCAGCCACTCGTTGAGTTTCTTCTGTCTGACTCCCTTCTGGGTCAACCACCTACGAGAGAGAAAACACGTGGACATTAGAAACCAGGGCAGATCCATTTTGATTTTCCCCAGAGGGAAGTTCCAGAAGTAGCGAGACACTGCTAATGTGCTGTACTTACATTAGATACTGGTCTCTGGTCTTGCGGAGCTGGATGAGGTCAGGCTTGATGCTGTTCATTCGTTTGTCGATCTCTCTGTAGTCCGCAGCCTGTTTCTTCAGATCTTCCTCCAGTCTGCGTTTGCTGTCTACGATCTCACTAATCCTTGATTTCAGCTTCTCGTAATTTCCCATGATCCTAAAAAAAAAAAAAAAACAGTAATGAAGGATGAGTGACATAACCAAGCATGGTATTCTTGTGTAATACTGAATCTGTGACAGATTCTTACCTCTGGATCTCTTTGTCGTTGCCTTCTCTCCTGAATTTCTCAATATACTCCTTGCTGTACCGCTCTTGTGTTTGACACTGCTCCTCAAATATCTTTATAGTTTCATTGAAAGCCTCAATCGCTGTCCGTTTCATTTGGATTTCCTGCAGGCAGAGGCGTGATATTAGTGTTCAATGTACAACAGCTACTGGAGTAGTGCTTTTGATTGATGTCACTTTGGCTGCAGGTAGCACTCACTTGTGATGTTCTGGTGTACTCTTCATAAAGACGGTCATACTCTTTGTTCTTCTCTTGGTACTGCTGGTGGTACTCACAGAGCTTCCTCCCCACAGCTTCAATGTTGTCTTCTTTTACTACCTGATCCTGAAGAAATCAACAGATGTGGAAAAGCTGCAGTTAAACTGCTTCAACGTAAGAATTTTTAAATGTGCCGCTTTACACTGAGCTAGCATCTTACCTGCTGGTGTTTGGAAACGGGATACAGCAGCTTGACGTCTAGCTTAGGGTTATACTGAGCCAGTGACTCATTGCGATAGTGGTTGATGAGCTCAACAACAGAGCTGAAGGTCAGTGGGTCTGAGAAGCCATACTTCCCATCCCGATGGAATATCTTAATAAGCTTATTGTTTCCTCCTTTCCTGTAAACAAAACAATAATGCTAGTTAAACTCACTGGCGAAAATCAATATTGGGAAATAATTTTGAACTAAAAACAGACGAGGCTCACCTCAGAGTCAGAGTGTAGTCGCCGTGCATTTTCGTAGAGGCGTCTCGCACCAAAAACGTACCATCTGCAGTGTCCCTCAGTTTCTCATTGACCTCCTCCCTTGAGATGTCTCCCCAGTACCATTCAGCGTCTTGTAGAGCCATGTTGTTGTTCATACCGTTGTTAATCACAGATGTGGGCTTGGGTGGCTTTGGAGGTAGAGCTGTAGGGACACAAGAAGTGAATATTGAATATAAATGAATGTGTTGCAGTGTGATTGGAGCTTCTATGTGCTCAGTTCTGTAATAAGCTGGCTCTGAGCTTACGTTAAATCTTGAATTTCTGGTGTGTTACAGCAGAATTAAAGGGAATTTTTTTTTTTTTTAAAGCTGGAAAAAAAACATTTCTTTGACCTTATTTAAAGAAGCTGCAGCAGTGTTTACCTAAATCTAAAAAGAATCAGGCATTTTGCAAAATCTGGAAAGCACACACTCTCTGTGGCTCTCACTCATCCTTTTTCCATTGATTAAACAGAAATGAAAAAATGCTGCCCCTTTCCAGCGGAGAGGTGGTAACGGCGAGGCAGTGGGAGGAGAAATGAAGCGTGAGTCAGGGAGAATGAATTTCATTCAAGAAAAAGCCATCTATAAATATTCCTAGCTGCAAATACAGCAGTGTAGCCCTATATTTACATGCAGAAAAGGAAAGGCTGAAAGCGTGTATAGCGCATTTTACAACAAAATAGGACAAGGATTATGAAATCTAACGCAGCTGACGACAGTTTCCTTCGGGCTTTTGCAAACAGAAAATACCCAGCTTTAATGAAGGATAAACTGATTCTGTTCAGTAAATCAATTTAACTCCATGGAAGATTCTTGAATCTGCAGTGGCTGCTCACAGGCTGACAGTTTCAGGGTGAAGCTAGCGTTAGCAGAGCTATGGTGGTTTGCTATTTTTAACCCACAAATCTGCACTGCCTTTGTTCACTGCCACTGCATGAACACCCTCTCTGCTGCAATGGACCTCGCACAACTTTGCCTACTGAAACCACAAGCACTGTTAACTTGCCAGACAGCTACAATTGTGACATGGCATAAAATGCAGATGTTCACAATCTGTGCAAATGCAGCCTGCCAGCTCAACCTCAGCACATGCTTTGCACTTCTTAGCACACCGCCTGCCTTCCAAACTGATCAAATGTCCCCTCCTGCTACCTACACATTTCTAGCCATATTAACAATCCAGTGTTATAAAACAGCAGCCTGCCAACGCCTCCACATAAGGAAAAACCTAAATAATTTGATCTCTTCTCATTGAAAGCGGCGCATTAAACTCATTTTATACAACCACCTAAACACCCATTTGAAAAGCCATTAAGGACAGCCTGCTCAGTAACGTGTTACATCACTTACCACAGCCAATCACATAGGGGGTCTGTCACCAACCACTCCTGCATCTTTCATTTCCTGAGAGCGATGAGGTCATTCTGAAAACCCATTACCTTTTACTTCCCTGCTTCAATTCTTTACAGCACTGCAGCTAAATAGAAAACTGAAACAACTGGGAATTTTCTCTCTGCAGCATCCGCGATTACATCCTAGTATGCATCCATCCTTAAAAGCAAATGTGCAGCATCTCTCCACTAGCAGAGGGAAAAAAAGGACCGGCAGCCTGTTCCATGCTTTTCCTCTGTCATCCTCTCTCTCTCTGTTGAGCCTGTCCACTCGCTCTCCTGCAGGTTGCTCAGCCCCTCCTCTCTGCGTGTGTCGTGCAGACGTTTAGTCCGTCCCACTGCTGGCACTCAGACAAAGCCAGCTCTGCTGCAGCAGCACGTACGCAGCTAAATTATAATGCTTGGCCCGGTCAGCAGCACCCAGAGCTCCAAAATACGCCTGTAATCCCACAGCATGACACTCGGCATGATGGAGATAGCTCCCTTGATTTCCTGAGTGAAATTAAAATAGACTCAGTTCTTAGTAAGGTATAAGGATTCAAGTGGAACGCTGCCGTTGTCCTTCTAGGTTCAACTGAGGAACTGCTGTTGGAACTCTACGTGCCCATCTTACAAAGTAATTAAACAGATTAGCTCAACTATAAATCAGTGGACGAGAACAAATGTTAAGCTTAAAAGTCAGTGATGACATGAACAAACCAGCTCAATCACATTAAAAAAAAAAAAAAACATCTCAAGGATATGCCAGTCAAAATTATTACCGGGATTTAAAATATTTAACTGACTCGATATTTGATTGCAGAACAGCTATAAACTACCCATTGGGGAGGTTTAGGGCCTCTCGAACTCAATAGAGAGCAACTCAGTGTTATATATGCTGTCTGCGAGAATACCACACAGCTATACAGTAAGAGTAGCAGCCCCAGGCAACTTTGCTGGCAGTTATGACTGGAGGCTTAAAGAAAACAAAAAACTATTATTCTTGTTCTGCTCTTTTCTTAAGCTGTGGTATTTGGGCCTTATTCGACCCATGTGGCCCCTTTGCGTTACAGCCTGAAGAAAGCAGCAGTCGAAACATACTGTTCCACTTGCGCATGACGATTTGTTCTAATAACATGCTGAACGTCAAACTTACGTTGCAAGTTGTGCATATTTTGGTGAATCAAAAATTTCTTCTTCGAAACTCTTCTTTTATTCCCAAAGGGTATATTAAATCCAACAGAGTTAGGTTCAAGTCCTCCGGTAAAGCTCCATTTCATAGTTTAGTCCACTGAGGACATGGATGTAGCTTGGTTTAATTCTTAAAAAGGTCGCAGCTTTATGTGCTTCTTAATGAAATCCAGGCAAAATCCGCTCGGCGTGAGGCAGGTGCAACATGCGACTGTCTAGCTGACTGACTGTTCAGTTCCTGCTGTGTCGTGTGGTAAAGGGCTGAGTCTCCTCTCTCTCGTCTTTCCCTTTCTGCGCACCGCGAGGTCGAGGCCTGCTCATGTGGAGGCAGATAGTTAATGATTAGCAGTAGCTGCTCTGGTGTCGGTGCAGCCTGTTCTGAAAGCACCCACTCGTGCCAGCTGCGTTTGTGTGTGCGTCTCTCTCCATCTCTTTGGTCACTCCCTCTTTCTGTGTTTGTAAAGGAGGAGGCGGAGGGTGTTCAGTCTTATGATTAACTTGCAAAGTTTCAAATATTTGCTGAGCTGAGCACTTTGAGTCAGGGAGGACATGTGGATATCCAGGCAGAGGGAGGACTGAGAGGAGGGGGGGGAGGAGAGTGGCCCTAGAAACTGGAAGCAGCCTTCAGTTAACAAGAAGTGCTCTGTGGAGCAGGCCGACTTTCCAGCCAACCAAATCTAAGTGGGCCTTTTGTCGCCTACTTAAAATAGGCTCGCAGTAACTGGGAGGAGGCACACAGACACCCGTGCACACGCATACACACAGGTCATTCACAGAAACATATGAACAGAATGTACATGTGTTTCTGTGGACCACATGTGCAGAATGTATAGTTTGTAAAGCGTGCTTTTTGTACGAGACAGGTGACTGAAACCAGTTTAGCACACCTGAACGTTGTCATATGTTCATGTATGCATTTCTGTTAAACAAACTAAAAGCCTATCTGAGTTTGTTTCAGGGACTTGCCTGCCTGCCCATCCATCCAGCCCGCTGCTAAAGTGCTCCCGCAGGTGCAAATTACTGACAGCTGAGAGCAGCCCATGCACAGGAACATTATAAATAGCCTTAACAGGTAATAAAATGTTTAAACAGTCACAGTCAGTCCCGGGCCTCTGGGCCAGCCAACGACAGCGCTTTTAACTAGCACTGTAAAAACATAACTGCCACGCAATGCACTGCAGTCTCACACCACCAGACTGGCTTCATCTATGCAGACCACGACTGTAGCACCAATGAACACTGGCTTTGTGCAGTTCTGTTTGACATATTGCCAGCTAATAACATCCAGAGAATCCAGAAGAATTAAGCAATTCCAACAGCCAAATACCAAATGCAAATTCACCAGTAATCATGCTCCTAATGCTCAGTTTCTAAATCAGTTCTCAGCTAAATTCAGAAGTCAGACTGGACAAAAATCAACACTCTAACAATGGAAACATAATCTGACACATTGTGTATTCAGCAAATGTACACAATTGTACCATTTCATTACCTGTAAAAACAGAATGTAATATGCATCTCCAACGAAGACATTTGCAAGTGCAAAATGTAAAGTGCCATCTTCTGCAGAGCAATCTTTTGAAAGCATGTAGCCCAAATTCAAACTGTACGTTATACAACCAACCGGGGAATGTGTTCAAGTAAAAACACTTGTTACCAGTAACTAGCACATGATGTGACTACATTAACTTCCTTTATCTCTACAGTGTTAGTAGTTTACCTCCACATAGTACCCTGTGGTCCTCTACTACTGCAGCAGTTGCAAGTCTCAGCACCTCTCTTCACGCTATTAATAGCTCATGTCTCAGTTCATGTTGTGCAGCAGTTTAGCCCCTGCAGAACATGCATACATGTTCTGCATCCAGTAATAAATGCTGTGCAAAGTCCCTTCAGCTTTTCAGAACTGAAGCAATGCTTAAGGCTTGCATCCTTTCCTAAAATGAAGTAAACCACGGCATACGCACCAACACGAAATAAAACAACAGCATTTGCTAACTTGGTAAATGCAAAGGTTAGCAAAAAATAAATGAATAAATAAAAAGCAGTTAATTACCTGGAGCAGTCTGACTTTCACTCCACTCACTGGTCACCAGAACCTCAATGATCTTTATGTATGCATCCAGACTGGGTTCACAACTGTAGGAGGAAAAAAGCAAGTTAAATAAAGTCTGTATTTTACAGCCCAGGTGACAGTACATGTCGCTCTGTGCCAGCTTCAATCCAATGGTAATTCAGGCTTAGCTACTTTAATTGTGCAGCACAGCTGGTAAGTAGAAAAGCTCCAGCCTATATCTGTGTACGGCTAAAACCCATGAGTGCCTGACAGACTGCGCTCTGTGTGTGCGTCTGAATATGTGTCTGCAAGTGTGCATGTCTGAGAGTTTGTGTGTCTCTGTGTTGCATGACTGAGCCTGCACACTTGTCTGTCTGCTGCCTGAGTGTCTTTGGCAAACCAAAGTATGTAGCAGCGAGGCACGGGCCTCCTACTCTTACACCCACCTGGTAGCCTGCTGTCTGAAGAACACTGGGCTGAAGATCTCGCCCAGCGATCTGGCACTCAGCAGGTTCTTGGAGCCGTTTTGGCACACTCTAGCGAAATGCCTTAGCAGACAGTGGAGAGATAGCCAGTATTGGGGAGGCAGGCTCGGGGTGCTGGCAATGCGACGTAGCAGCTGGGCACATTCCTCAGGATTCACCACCTCTGTTGGAACAGATGGGGTCGGTCAGACAGACATTAAAAAACGATCCTGCGTTAAGGCCTTGCTCAGATGAAGACGTGCTGAAAATGAAAGCTCTTGCTTTAAACGCTGAAGGGATGGAAAAAGGCGTCATGTGCAGCTAGTCTTGGAGACCGCAGAGAGATTGTGTGGTTGACAATGAACGTAAGGTACACTGGCAGGTGATTGGCTGCTCAGAGATGCAAGAGATAAACTTTCAGGCTTGTTTTAGTTCCTATTAACCACAGATATCCTGTTTCTGGCCATGTGACAGCAAGAGAATGCTGCACGACAGCGCAGCTTGTGGTGTGAGAATTTTTTTTCTCTGCTTGCAAGAGACAGAGAACAAGGTTAAAAGAGAGAGATAAAATACGCTTTGTGCTTTTTCTTGATGTATCAGTAGAGGCAGAAAAAAAGTGTGGCATGAAAGTATTACTTGAGGACTAAAGGTTATTGACGAAGTCTTGTGGTTTTGCATTCAGAGTACTTAATGTGCAGCAGCAGCGTAGGAGTGCATTACGTCAGCACTTCTGCTTTAGGACGGCAGAACAGCAAAAAAAAATGACTGCTGAATCTGTGTAACAGTCGTCTGTTCTCACCTTTGGCAGTGTGGACCATCTGAGCATAGATTGCAGTGGGGATGATGGGCTGGGGAAGATCTTGCAGGTACCTACGCAGACCATCACAAAGGACTGGAAGTTCCACCTGATCAAGTTCTGGTGAAGGAGGATCTGAAGTGCGAAACAGCACCAAGACACACACTTAAGCTAACGTCTGTACAATGGTTATTTACAGGCTGTTGTATAACCATAACACTGCCCTTTCTGGTCTTTTAACATATGGTATTTGTGCACACACAGGAGCTTTTCTAGTCTCCTCACACATTTGCGTCACTCCTGTTTTCACCTCCTCTATCTTTGACTTCCTCTCTGTTCTAGTTGACGACTGTAAACTTACAGGCTGATATGATTGCCATCACTCTACTTACCACTATCAAAATACTGTCTGACTTCAAGTCCAGCTCCCGCAGTAAATGTTCGATATAAAGTGGGGTTATCTAGACCTGCAAAAAATGAAACAAACGCAAATTATTACATGAATTGACAAAACTAATTCAGTTTGTTTGGCTCTCTGCAACAGGCCACATCAGCACAGTTACATGTTGCTTTACTGTCATAGAGGAGAAAAGAAAACAGAAAACTTTCAAATTTGAGAAGCTGGACTCAGAGAATTAAAACTTATTTCTTCAATAATTACTCAAACTGATTCAGCAATAATCAAACAGTTTCTGATTACATTAACAGTTGACAGCCAATCAATTAATCATTGCAGCAACATGTCAAGATGAATAACTTTAGGTTTTTCAGGTAAGCTCACCTTTCCTCTCGATAGCTTCCAGCAGTCTGGCCAGCATGGGTGGAGCGGTCTCTGGAAGGGAAAACTGCTCCGTCAAGTCTAGCAGACAGAAGCCTGGAGGAGAAAATAACACATCAATAACCGAGGTGACTTTTAAATGAAAGAAAATAGCTTTATACTAATTTTTAATTGGAGCAGTGTTTTATCTTGTGAACCTTTTTCTGACACGTGGTGAACATGGCTGGAACTAAGATACCTTTGAAGCTTGTGTGAACACACTGACAACCTTTAACATAGTGCAAGTCCAATGAATATTGCTGCCAGTACCAGACAATTTATCTGCCACCAGATATAGCAGTGACAACAGGCTCCAATCTGAAATAAAGGGCCTTGCAGTGGAACGTATAACATTTAACACATAAAGTGTGACCCCAGGCTTTACTGGTACAACAAAGAAGACAGAATTAGCCTTAGTATTTTGGCTTTGAATAAAAATTTCCTCAACAGTTATCTAATTGTTTTAGCTACAATTTCAATCATCTGAGCCCTGAAACCGCTCAGTTTGAGGGGTATGTGTGTGTATATATATGTATATATATATTTATTTTATTTTTTTTAATGCTGATATTACACAATTTATTATAACCAAAAAATGTTTAACTGAAAGAACTGCCAGGTTTATTTTATAACAGTCTTTAAACTCATTGTGTGACATGCAGCTACATAAAAAAATAACCAAATCTAAACCTAAAACTGTGACATTTTAGCAAATTCACTTCATTTCAAACATCTCACTTTAAAAAAATCACCAAAAATAAACTCTCTGCACCAGATTCTGTAAGAAAGAGAGACTTCTGTGCTCCTTGGTGCAATCAGTGAGCCATTTCTGACTCAACTGTGACTAACAGTCATGTGACAAAAATTCAGAAACTTTTCAGTTCAACTGCTGGCAGTGTTTAAACAGAAAGGAGACAAGTATAAAAACATATGAAAATGTAAGTACTGAAATATCTAAAAGAGCAAAATGCTAGATTGTATGATTTTCACAGTAGATTTTTATTTATTTATTTATTTTTTAAATCTTCCATGGATCAAGGCAAATACGGAAAGAAAAGAGGAAATGTTTTTTCTATATCCAAACATAGTTTGCACATATGAAAATGCACTAATGTTGTTGCAGAATACTAATACAGAGGAGCTTTGTCTGAAAGGCTGATGAATCCAGAGAAATGGTGACATAATTGTGACTAAGAGAATCTATTGTCTTGTCCTCTGGGCTGTTCTGAAAAAAACCGCACAATGGCTTGAAGGGAATTTCAGTCGGCCCATTTCCTCTTGAGATGTGGTGACACAATTTAGGTGTCATATTAACCAAATCAGCAGGCAGAATTAAAGCACAGTGAGACCCATACAGAAATGAAACGGTGTGCCGGTCACATAAATCTAATCCCCACTGATGAATGCTCATGTGACATTAAACAGAGAGGGCTGCAATTCATCTCAACCAGCAAAGGCTGATTAGACGCTGGACTTACAAACTACTCAGAACTTCAAAGGAGGCAGGTACACGACCAAAGAACTGCCTTCAAAAGTATAAGCTGAGTATTTACAACAGACTGATTCAAGAACAGGAGGTGCTGAGCACTAAAGTTAGGGTTTGGTGGACCAAGGAACTAAGCAAATATCCTGTGATATGAGGTAAGCCAGGTCTGAGTTTCTTACTTATTTTTTCTTTAGAACTTTGCAGCCAGGTGTGGACATGAAAGGACGAAGGAGTTGGCAGGGATTTTATTTGGATTTGCAAAGGCGTATTTTGAAAAGGCACTTTTCTGAAAGGCTCAACTGTTCAACACCAAGTCTGCAGTTTGAAAATGCTAAGAAACCATGAATGGAACCCTTTCTAGTAACCATATTTTTCTTTCTTTCTACCTTAAGAATTATTTCTTTTTTGAATTCGGAATTAAACGAGCAACTGCTGGTCTCGCTGATGCATGCATGCTTGTCATTACCAAGGAACTACCCTCTTTTCACCAATGAGGGTTCAATCAGGCAAATAATGAAGCACTTCATCCACATCCACATCCTCTGACCAGCGCAGCACTCAGGCTGGCATGTTGCGTGTGAAGAAACTGGATTACCAAAGTCCTTCTAACCACAGAACACACAAAAACTCCATGTAGGACAACTGTTCATCTGGAAGACATTATTGGAACTGCAAACTGGGAGGGGGGTTTTCTCAGAAGCGGCAGACTTTGAGATGGAACACCAAAGTTTCCCTAAATAGATATCGAGACATGCAATGCTGCCATCACACACCTTGAATGTGTAACCTTTCTCCCAGACCAGATATCTAACACGCCTGTCCTTCTGCAGCCAACCTTTTTCTGAGAAACTCAGTGCACAACCTGTCGTTAAATTTAAACCCCCGACTTACCCACACCCCCCACTGTTCATATCCATAAAACTGGCTTGACTGCAACCTCCAGCAGGCTACTTTTTAAAGATGTAACATTTACGACAAGCCAAAGTCTTTAAATGATTGTTTTAAATTTGCATTATGCACCTAGTTTACATTTGTAAAAACACATTTATATAGACTGAAGAGCAATATAGTCAGAAATACATAATACACAGGCTTAAAGCTTCTGCTTGGTGATAACCCCTAAAACAAG